AGGGTTGTAACATTCTCGACAAAAATTTTCAGATCGAGATATTTGAAGATAGTGGAAATATTTACCTATCTTGGTCTTCGATTTATCCTACACAATGAGAGAATGATGCTCAGTCAATTTCGATTGGATTGTATCAAAGTCAAGGTGAATTCTTCAAAACCAATCATTCCACCATTTGGAAAGTCAGGATTAGATAAGTAATTTGATTCGAAAGCATAAGGATAAAAATGAACTGGGCTTTGTGGTAATAATTTGCTAAGTTCTCTTCTCACATTCGATTCATTAAGCCTAAGCCTTGAAAAACTATCGATTTGGAAGAATGGTTAAGCTTGACTTAAACCAAATTGTCTTGAGAAAAGTTGAGGCTAGTAGATGATGAGTTTGATATCTTTTGATTGAAAACCCGATACCAGAACATCTTGGGTTAAATTACTCCATACGTCAATCAGTTCTGATTGTAGACCCGGAGTACGAGCTGGAAATCTTGATTTGAACCATGTTGGTCCTCGAAGCTTATCACTTATTTTTCCATGATATGTAATGAAAGGAGTCAAACATGAGTCGAAATAAAATTGAGTCAGTAGGAAATTCATATAAGTTCTATAATTGGCTCCATTGAAGGATTTTTGCTGAGGGTGTCGGGATGATAATCGAACACCTTCTAAATTAAAATTTAGGGGAACTTTGGATGATGTGGGAAGAATACTCTCGAAAATTGAAGTTAGCCATAGTTGGATGAACCATATGGGACCTAAAAAATTCCCTGAAGGTTTTTTAGTATTCAAGATGTCGACTGCCTCATCGAATGGCGTATAGACATGAGCAAAAAGGAGTTTTGCCAAGCAAATTCGAGGTTGACCAGTATGAAGAAGGTAAGCGAAATTATAAAAATGTGATGAAATCTGGATAGATCGAGGGAAGAAAACATGAGTGCAAAGCCAATATACCAAAAATACAATATGCTCTTCATTGGAAATTGTAATTGAATTGTCATCGACAAAATGTTTTTCGATGAAGTGACCATAGGCCTTCGCATCCCAATTGATTCTTGCTTCGAGAAGATCTTCGGAAGGGAAAGCAGTTTTAAAATATTTTTCCCTGTAAGTTTTAACCCGGTAATTGCAGCAATCTCGAAAAGAGTAGGGGAAAGAGGACCACATGGAAGCTCTATAGCATGTAAATCCTTATTCCATAAATGGACTGCAGATAAAAACATGGGTATATCCAAAGACGACAAATCACATCGAGATAAATGTAAAAAGTAAAAAATCTTGATGTCTTTCCAATGGTTTCCAAACTTGGCTTTTACTTTATCAAACCACTTAATATATAAGGGTTTTTTGTGTGGAGGACCGGTTCGATATACTTTTGAAGTGGCGTTAAGGAAATCGATCCTCATCTCAGTTTTGTGAATAATGGTTTTGCTTTCGGTAGGAAGGTAGATAATGGAAGAAGGCGATCCAGCAGAATAACGAATATGACCACCAAATGCATAATCAACATTATCAACTGTATAAGGTATAAGTACTCGTGTTTCAGCGATTTTTTGCAAAGCTTCTTCTAAACGTGGGACCAAAGCAAACTTTTGGCCATTTATCTCTATTAAATTTGAAGTCACCGTCGACAATGGCGGAGTTGGGAGGTCAGAAGATTTGGAAGTAGTCATGACAGCTGTGTAAGATTGAAGACGAAGGAGAATTGACAGATGAGAAAGATAAAAGGTTTAGTTTTTTAGTGAAGATAATGCAAGTTGATTTGGGAATTTAAAAGGGTAAATAAGGGTAGTTGAAACGACGAACGTGGAAGGAAGTTAAATGGAGACGTGACACAAATTTTTTGGGAAAAGACGTGTCTTTATGAAGAATCAAGTAATATTAATGAGGGGAATGACTTGATTTGATATTTGGTAATAAAACAGTTTTTATGGCTTCAGAACATTTAAGAGTTGAAATAGACACTCTTTGAAAGAATACAAAATTTGCACAATATTTTATTCTTTAAAGGGGCATTTTTTTGGTGGGAAAAATTGATACATGAATCGAAAAGTGGATAGAAGACATTCGATGACTATATTGGAGTAAAAAATCGAGAAAATTGAAGTATCGAGTGTCAAGTTAAAATTGAAGGAGATCAGAGGCATCATGAAGTTCAAGTATTCGATTTCTGGGATCGAAATTGAAGGAAGCAGTTATCTCTGCACATGGTAATATTGGGTAGTGGTTTTTAACCGTTTTAGGTGGTTATGTTAAGAAGGTTATAAATAGAACTAAGCGCTGGAGGTTAGGGGAGATCATTTTGACTTCTGGTACGAGTCTACGGGAGAACGACAACCATCATGAAATTTATAGTAATCTGGGTTGCCACTTTCATCGATCGTTATTACCGCTTTCTGTATTTTCCTTGGTAATTTATTTATATGTAATCTAAATTTGTGTATCACTTCTTTGTTTCGTCATTTATTTATCTTTCTGTATTTCTTTAAAGATAATTCAATCAGAGTTTTCATATAGTCATTTCCTCATTATTTCATCTTTCTCTAGCTTTTATGTATTCACATGTCTTTAAGTTCACATAGTCTTTCATTTTATATCGTTTATTATTAATTTTACTTTTGTCTATTCTACTTGTTCTCAAGTTTCTTAATAATAAAATTAAAAAGAACTTTTCGTTTGTAAGTTAATGAATATAATTTATTTATCCTTTGTTATTGAGCAACATTTCTTTCCATTAGATATAATCATTTATTTGAGTATCATTGATATTTGTATGCTTTTAAATTCATTTTCAGTGCTTCGTACTTAAATTTACCATCTCTTATGTTTTTTATTGAAAAACATCTTTGCTAGCCTAAATAAAAAAACTCACGAGTGGTTGAAAATTAGTTAAAACTTACAGTCTTCGAAATCGAAATAAAACCAAATTTCACCGAGTAACAATACCTAAGGGTCACATTTAGATCACGTTTACTTCGGATCTCGAGTCTTTATATAGACTAAAAATGTTATAAACTCATATCAAGAAATCATTTGTCTAGTTTTTTCAGTTTAGGAAATGTCTCTACATTTTCTTTTCTCTCTTGTTTTCTATTTTCATTTTTTACTATTCATATTCTTTTCCTTTTCTGGTCCGAATTGGTTCATAATTCTTCTTTCACGGAGAACTAAATTTTGAGGATTAATCTACGAAATCAATATCAAACAAGTCAAATTAAGTTTTGTATCGATCGTGTCTCACTCTGAGTTTGTTCTTCTCTTTTCTAATCTCGGTTTTGTATCTTGAGATTTCAATATGTGATTTTGCTTTTATACTTCAAATTAGGAATTGATTAAATCGTGATTTAATAATTAAATGTGAATTGTATTGAATGATATTTGAGATTTAATTTGGTTTAATTTATTAATTGAATAAGTTATTTGTTCAAACTTGGATTGAAATTTGTAGGGAACTATGATAAGAGAATTGTTTTATTGAGACATCATGATTAATTTATCTTCTTCTTTTGACTCTATTTTCTATCTTTTTGTTTTCAATTTTACGTTACAATTTTTTTTATTATTTTACATTTTCAAACTCTCAAATTAACTTTCTTGGAAAGAATATTAAGAATTAATACATTTTAATATGTGCTCGTAAGAAAAATAACCTAGGTTTTAACTCTATATTAAAAAATCTTTTGAGCAAACTTACTATATTTGATTTTATCAACGAAAATCACATGTGTTTCTAGAATCCCTAGTAAAATTTCTTTTAGATCTCTCACCCATGTTAACATATAAACGACTATTTACCTCATGTAAATAGTTAGAAATTGAACAAAAATTTAAGAGTTATTATTTCTGAGTGTTCTCTTTTCTTGAGTTGTATTGTATCTTCAACTTTGATTTAAGTGACGATAACTACTACTCATCTTGAGTTGGTTCGTCCCTAAGTGGCATGTCATCATCCCTCGTTACCCCCCTTTTTCTCTTCTTCATTTTATTTTATTTTTCTTCTCTTATTTACTGCATTGACTAGTCTTCTACGTCCAACCCCTTAATATTTATTGTTTTATGCTTGATAATCTCTTCTTTTCTCTAAATTCTTAGGAATATACCTTCACAAATAAATAAATGATTATCTTCAAATTCATTAGAATCTTCCTTAAATTTGTTTCTACTTAATTGTCTCGTACATCTTATATACTTCGCTTCACTGATACTTAATTTTTTATTAATTGTTCACTTTAGTTTAATCTTTACTTTTTAAAGAAGTAGACTCTTTAGGTGGATACTGTAAAATAAATAATAATTTATTTTAATAATTATAAAAAATTAATTTATTTAAAAATATTGTTGAAAAATATTTTTAAACTAATTAGTTTTAATAGATGCACTAAAAAAAGTAAAGTTTTTTCATAAAACATATATTAACCTGGAGGAGAATTTTATAGAAACATTTTTTTTTTTACAAATTAAACTCATTATTTTAATCATATAGTTTGAATTATGAATGATACTTTTTTATTTAAAAAAAATAGAAATATTTTTCTCAAAAGTAATTCTAAATTATTTGATTATGTTATCCGATGAAGGTATAAACGTCCACTTAACTTGATTGGATTACATTTACATCAATTAGAGTTATATTAAATGATGGATTTCATTTTCGATAAACTGAACATAACTTCACTACATAATAAATATATAATTAATTTTATATTTATCATGAAATTACTCATATATTTTATAATTACTAAAAATATTTATTTTGAGATATTTTAAAATAAATATATTGGTTTTAAATTACTCTATTCTTATCACATGTCATGAAATTTTAATTATTATTTATTAATAATATTTTTAAAAGTTAATGTCTTTAAAAAAATATTTTCTGAAAGAGAATAATGTATCTCTCCCCTTCTCTTTCTTTTTCTCTCTAGATAACTAAGATGAATATAAAAAGTAAAATATTTGTGAGAAAAGTTGGATGAATTGAAAAAGCAAAAAACGACGAAGAGTGACGCGGTGTGAAACGCAATCGTAGGGTAACAACATGCGTCAGTGTAGTCTGTCATCACGATGACAGAACAAAATGTTCCATCTCTTTTAGAAAACAGAGAAATACTATTTTTGGACCCACCAAATGTCAGATTTTTAAAACATTTATAAAATTCAGATTAAGATTATTCTGTTCCTAATTTCAATTTCACGCAATAAAAATAAATCGAAAATACTTACACAAACAAAACACCATTTATAATTTTAAATGCATAAATTATTAATGTCCTTTTTATAGTTAATTGTTTTATATATTATATTTGATGAAAATTAATATATATACCAAAAATTTATGTCATTGCAATATTTATCAAGTTCCGAAAAATATTCTATCTATTAAATGGTATTCTTTTAGTGACCACTTGTTAAATGTGACTAAAATTTGGACTCGTCAAATCCAATTCCTAATTAAAGATGCTTGTTGCATCGTAAGAGAAAAATACTCGAAAGAATTTATTCGAACTAAAAACTAAAAGAAAAATAAAGTTCCCTTCTTTAATAACAGCATTTTGCATGTAATCATATAATTATTTATATAAATAAAACTATTTTATTACTTCTTTTAATAGTTAAATCAAGAATAATAGTAAAATTATAAAAAAAACATTTTAAATATAATAATATTTATTAATTAGCATAAAATTATATTTAATTAGAGTTTCAAAAATAAGAATATATTCTTAATAATAATAAATGAAAAATATATTTAAATCTATAAATAATACTAATTATTTTATTATAGTTTAAACTATAATAAAATTCAATTCAATTTAAATATAAGGTTTCAAACATAGTAACATGTTCCCAATAATAATAGTTTGAGTTTAAAAATTGTAAAATTTTGTAAAAGCTAATTTGATTTACTCTTAACGTGGTAAGAGATTAAAGAGAAGAAGTACACATGGAAAATAAGTTTGTTGAAAGTGTGAGAAATAGATTACGTGAATAAATAATGGTTTGTAAGATTAAAAAGTACGTGTGAACACACTTTTTTTCTTTATCTTTTATCATGTTATTATGACTTTGAATTGAATAGATTCTTCTTGTCTTTCTAACACAAGTGGATGGATAGCGTGGGCCAATTTTTCTCTGGTCTTCATGAAAGACAAAGTAAACAAGAAAGAGAAATTGTTGGATTGGATGCATGACCCTCATTCTGCCCTTTTAGTTAACTTTAAAAATATAACCTTTAACGCAAACACCAACTTAAAATCAATGGAGAAACACATTTTTCTCTTTTAAAAAAAAAAAATTTAGGATCCAAGCAACAAACTATATTTCAAACAACCCCCATTATGTGAATTGGAGAATTTAATTTTAGGATGTGTTTGCGTTACCAAGTTAAACAAGTGTTTATTATATAAATATTTGTACTTACCTATTTGAATAACCAAATAGAAAAATATACATAATTTAAATATATTATTTTAAGAATGAGAATTAGAAATTTATTTTAGATCCTCAACATTTATTTTTGTCCAAAAATATTTTTTTTTTTTTCAAAATTGACCGGAGTTTTAGAATACGAACAATGCTCAAACCCCACATACAATTGTCAAAGAAAAACTCATTTTAATGAAAATTTTAATCAGATGAATATTTTTCCTTTGCCACTAGTAACACAGTAACATGTTTAAATAAAAAAATGTAAACATAATAAAATTATTATTTTAAATTGTTTATTTTTTAAAACATTGCATTTTTATAAATATAAATCATATTCATTAAATTTTTAATTTCGTTATTTAAATGGAAAACATTGCAATTACCTCACCTCATCCTATCTTATAAAGTCTCGATTATAGTAGAATCTACAATATTTCAAGATTAAGTTAAAATTAGAATACGAAGAGAATAAATATAAACTTGAAAGAGAAAATAATTTGTAAATAAATAATTTAAGTAATAAATTATGCTCATAAAATTTGTATGACTTCAATTTATTTTAAAATTCTTTATTAAAATAATATATTATATGAAAGGAGTTATTGTCTTGAAATTTTTATCTATAGACTTTTAATAAAATGACATTCATTCTCTTCCTATTTTTAAATTGATATAGCTGGTTATAAATAAATAAATAAATATACATTTTTTTTTTGGTGTTTTCATTTTTTTTATGTTGCATATATAACTGGTTGAATTCATTGTTGTTTCTTTCATTGCCTTTTTTGAATTTTCTCCATGCTACTGTCAGCAAATGCCTAGAAACAATGAATCAGATTCTTGCGAACCGTTATTATAATGATTTATTAAATCTTAATAAAGATCACTCCCCATTTTCATAAGTCTATAAATAAATACGTTTGAAATCATTACAACAAATTAACTATTCCTCTATATTAAAGATAAGTTCATTAAAGAAATGTGCTCTCATTTATATTTATTCTAAAATGTTAGGTGTTGGGATTGCTCTATTAATATAAAATTCTCTAATTAAAATAAATTAAAATATTAATATTGACACTACAGATTATTAAATACATTGTTTGTTAATAATGTTATAAATATAGTGTATGAATAACATTATACATTAATAAAACTTATGTATAATGTAAATCTAAAAAAATCTACAAAAATGTATATGCATGACTTCGGAATAAGGCACAAATATGTGTATAGTTTGTGTTCTACCGTTGATTGTCTCATTGAACATAAATAAGTTGGATTAATTTTTCGATGAAGATGGGATTTCTATTTTCTATCACCATTGCCACGTAGTGTGAACGCGATTCACGTTTTCCCATTAAAATTCTTTGGTTACATACTAGAATCAATTTCCAGTCTATTTATGCTTCACTGGTTCCGCACTTTTCAACACATGTTTCAGTGACCCAAGCTAGAGAGAGAAACTAATAATAGAGATTTTGTCTTGCAATTTCTATGTTGCATTAATTCCTATCTTCTCTTCTTTTGCCTTCAGTTGAAGAGATATTTCTTTAGCTACGCTACATTCCAAACCAGGCTCCTTTTTCCAGTTTCTGCGCCATAACTCCGATTTGGTTGTGTTTGTTTATACATATGATGATGTCTGCATGATTTTCGTGTCCCCATTGGTTGGATCTTTGTTTCTTCCTTTTAATTTATAATATTATGTGACATATGAATAGTCGATATATGATTACTGTTTGTTTATTCATGGTTCGGTTGAGGTGGAATGAACTACACCGAACTCGAAATTCTTAAACATAGAAATTCAACTCGAGTTTGCGATTAATGAAGTATATATGTATATATATATTTAAATAAATATAGATAAGCTTTGAATTTTAAACAAAAATGAAAGAAGAGAGCATAACTAACACGATCGTGCTTGTAGTTAACTAACGCATGAATGACGTAATCGTGATTTTGCGTAATGCAATAGAAAAAAAAATGTGACTTACATGGTTTGTTATTTGACATGTTTAGCATATATATTGCATTTAAAAAAAAATTCCATGTATGTCAACAGACAAGACAAATTTAAGAAATTTGACCAGTCGCACATATAAGGAAACCTTCCAGATAAATAAATGCTATCCAATATTCCGCAACTCTTACTGAAAGATGTTACGTTATTATCACGGCTTTAATAAATTGTGTCCTTCAAAGAACAGAAAGAAATTTGTGTGGAATCTAGTTAGGTTTGGGTTCCTGTACCATAAAAGCAGCACAAAAAATGATTAGGCTTTGTCTGGCATTCGAATTTTTCAGTGCGTACTAACTTTGTGTCTCGGTTTCCTTATTTCACTCTCTGCACATCTCTATCTTCCTTTCCCTGAATTAGATGCTACAAAGGGAAAAGAGGAAAGATAAATGGAATCGAGAGTGATGAAACACAATCATATGATGGACCTAAACCTGCATTAATTAATTAATTATCCATAAAATTGCGAGAGCATACAGTTGCGAGGACCTCTTTCTTTAAACACCGAAAGAGGTTTTTTTAACTCGCTTTCTGTCTCTTCACTCTGGGAAATTTACTTTATCTAGAATAAAAAAGTTTAACGTGATAATGGGTGAAAGTGGGTTTAAGTTAGTTTGGTCACTTCAATCAACCCACTTCAAATGAGTAAATTTTCATTCGACATTAATCATTGCTAAACTATACTAAGGAAAGTAACAACGGTAGTATGTATAACTACATTACAACTGTTTCGCTGATTTTCCGCGCGGTCGATTTTGTCGCCACGTACAAACAGAATCCTTCGCTTTCCGTTTCAAAGTACTATTCACTTACACAATTTTAACTAGGACACTGAACTTGACTCATGAATTACTGCTTCCACAATTACGTTAAACTCCGTGAACTGATCTACATTAAATGCATAAAAATTATATAAATGGGACAGTCTTGGATTGCATGTTGGAAACATCCAATAGTATCGGGTCACGTGACGGATCGCATATTCGGTTTTGGTTAGACCGGTCCGATCCGATCCGATCCGAATTGACTACGCTCACTACGTGCTTATCGTTGTTACATCTTCAAACCCAAATCCCCACCCCCGGTTTGTCTTGGGCATAATATCAAACTGCACTTAAAAACTTAAAAGCTCTGTTTTTGGTTCAACGTATTCCTCGACGATATCTTCTCATTCCCCTAAATGCTATGTTTCTGTTTCTGTTGAGCACTTTCATTCAATTCATTCGAAGACAAGCAATTCGTTAGAAGACAAACCCCACAACAAACAGGGACTTCGGTTTTCTTTTCTTTTTTACTAATGGCAAAGAATGCTCAGAAGTTCAAAACAGAAGACATTACACAGAAAAGAGTATTAGTATTAAGAAGATAGAACATGGATACGTAAATGTCGATCCCCTTAACTCGGATAAAAAGAAAAGATACAAAGAAATGAAAAAAAAATAAAAATAAAAGAGAGAATAAAAACCATGAGCATCTGGATCTTCAGGACCGGCAAAACTAACATGGATATACAGAGTAGTTGTTTTATTTGTGGGTGGTCTTAGACGCCTCAGAAGCTGGCGCAACCTTCTTCGAAGCCTTGTTGGCTGTGGACTCAACAAGATCCACCACCACCTGCTTCATTTTCTCGCCCATCATGCTCTTCACGGAACGTCTTTCCTTGGGGAAGACGCTCCCATTTTTGGGTTTGTGCGAGGGCTCTGTTTGCTCTGTGCCCTTTCCTTTTTCACCGTCCATGGTTTCGTCTCAGCCTCTGGCAAGCTCTCTCACTCTCTCTGTGTTTCGAATTTAAGTGATGAAAGTAACCGTGAGGGTTCAAAGCTAGTTGAGGGCTTTATTTAAAGCCCTCACCAATATTCTTTAAAATTTTATTCGAAATTCAATAGAAATACAGTTAGAGTAAACGCTAAGAAACATTAATTGGTCTTAAAGACACGTGTAGTTTCACAAGTGGCAGAAAGATGATATGACAAGGTCGCAGTGGAGTCTATAAATATATTAATTTCAGATTTCACATCCAAGTTTCGTAAAACTCTTATAAACATTTCTTTTTTAATATAATAATAATAATTTTAATTTATTTTTTATTTTTATTAAATCATTATATAAATTATTATATTAATAAAAATAAGTTATTTAAAGGATTGTATGGTTATTGAATTGTGAAAATATCACCTCCCTATTAATTTTTACCGCATCATTCTACGATCATGTTAATCCATAACCTACACTCTCACCATGCTAAAAGTCCAATGCATTACGTATTAACCAGAATGACTATAAGCTCAAAATGATAAATCATTGTCTTTCAGTCATCTTTTACCTTTTTGAATCCGTACATTGATTCTTCATCGCACAGAGGAAAACCTGCAGTTAATTATGACATTACTATAACTAACCTTCTGGAAATTTTGATTAATTACTTCTCACGCTCAGGGTCACATAAGATTAGGGTCTTAAATTCTTAATGGCAATCAAAATTTCAGTATATATTCATTCTCGTTTTTATCCAAACAAAGAAAAAGCAAACGTAGACCATCTGTATTGAGTTTAGACATTTTTTTTTCCTGAACATGCATGCCTGAAGTTAGGAAACTCATCCCAACATTACATTAGTAATAATGACATTCTTTTTCTTCCTAGTTTCTTCTCTCTTTTTTCTTAACAATATTAATACGTATATAAAGTGGTAGAATGTAAAAATAGTTATCTCAGTTATTTTATCATGTGATTGGTGACTCCAATTCCTCTGCAGCTGGATGCAAAAGCTTCAGAAGGATGGGCCCCGCAAAGAAAACCTTTATGAAGATATGTTGCCGTGTTGCACTTTTTTTCCTCCTTTCAAATAATTCTAAACTGCATATGATGCAATTTTGTAATACCACATTATGTGTAATCCAATCAGGGGTTGAATAAGAGCATGAAAAAGCAATGCTCTTCTAAATATTTTTCCAAGGTAGAGGTGAACTGTAACTTTTGTTTTTACTTTTCTTTTAAAACTGATCGTACTTATTGCAGGTGGATATCTTCCTAATTGGTTCCAGATGTTAAAATGTGTTGATTCAATGTACGTAGCTATGATATGACAGAACCAGAAAATCTATGAAGGGGTAGCAGAACAACGTTTTCAAAAGTGCATCATTGATATTTAAACATCCACTTAAAAATATATATTTAGACAACTTTATTTATTAATATTATATTTATAAATTGATTGAATTAAAATTAATTATTTTATTAATAAAATTATTATTGTTAATATATATCAATAAATTATTATTGATGGATTGTTTGAAATTAATAAATTATTTTCCTTTTCAAAAGAATGAGGTTAGGTTGGATTGATGGTAGAAGCGGCAGTGGAGTCAGCACGCCATCAAGACAATGATATCAAAGACGTCATTTCATATTTTTTAAACAATATATATATTTGCTGATTAAATTATCTTTTTAAGATTAGATTATCGTTAATTAGTTAAGTTGTCCTTTTTATCGATTTTGAATTTCTTAAGACAGTTGAATATACCCAAAAAAAAAAGTATTCTCAATTTGAAGCCAATCATTTTATCTGCTAGCTTATTCTTAGTTGAACCAAAATAGCTTTTTTCGCCCATTAAAATAAATGATCGTTGAACTGAACTTTAGGTATTAGATTGAAAAAGAAAACATTTAATTGAATAAAATAAGTGACGAAATTAAATATACTAAATAATTAAATTGTTTTGACAATAAATTGAATAAGTTTAACTTTTAAAAGCAGACCACAATGGTCTATTAATTCATTGGCACAACGTTAAACCTGATGGAGCTTGAAAAACAAAACCTATTTAAAATGTAAACCAGATTTGATTGACACAAATTTTCAGGTAGTTGGAAGGATAGTTCCCACCAATTAGACACTTTTAACCATTATCATTATCTCTTTCTATTTCTATTATTATTATTATTATTATTATTATTATTATTATTATTATTATTATTATTAATACTTCTATTTTATTATTGTTGTAATTACTATTGATATTACAATTATTATATTAAAGCCTTTTACATTGATTATTATCGAAGCCATGTAGATATCATAAATATAGAAAATAAGTAAAGAAAAGATTTTTTTATATTGATTATGAAAATTTAGATAATTTAAATATATAGGGTGATATTTAATTTTTTAAGTTAAAATTAAATATTATTTATTCTAATTGAAATGAATACTAGCATTAAAAGTCATATTTTAAAATTTAAAGTGAAGAAAAATTGAATAAATTCAAAGATACTTTTTTTAGTTTATTATGTTATTGTGAGAAACATTTACAAGTTTATTTTAATTAATTATAATTTAATTTAATTTTCAGAAATAATGTTTTAGAATTGAAGTAATTTAAAACTAACACCAATTATATTAATTGATTGTTTTTACTTAAAGTTTACATTTAAATCTAAATTTAATTAAAATTTATTGATGATCTGCAACCTTTTTTATATTGCCATCTACCACATACTGTTTTGAAACAAATTTGCATCATTTACATAAAAATATTTAATAAATTTATCGTTTTAAAATTTAATACTTTTCATGCAATAAATATAAAAGCAAAGTGACTTAAAGTGTTCATAAATAGAGCAGTGGTGAATATAATATATTTTTATATATTAATGAAACATGTCAAAATGACTTACTGATTTTAGTAATTATAAAGAAGAAGAAGAAGAAAAAAAAATTCCAAAACCTACTTTTTAACACATCATTTTCTAAAAACTTAACAACTTCAGAAAAAGTCCGCAAAAAATTTAAAGTGCGAAACAAAATATGTAATTAAGTATTTTTTTATACACATCCATTTACCAAATAATTTCATGTTAGTTGTCAACATTGTCATATATTAATTAATAGAAATGGATGATTAGAAAAAAAAATTGAATTTTTACATTCAACATTAGCTAAAAAGGTAAAATTCACCAAAATTTTGGAGTGAAGAAGAAAAAGTGCATTTTCTATAATTTTATAATATTTAGAATTGTTTTATCCGCTCACGAGTGGAGACTAATAATTATATATATATATATATATATATATATATATATATATATATATATTATTTTTATTTAATTTATTACTGTTTCTTTTAAAGATAAGTGACATATTAAAATTTTAAAGTTAACCATATTTGAAATATAATAATAAATTCTAATAATATTATTATAATAAATACGAAGTCAAAATACTTAAACCTTGATGTTCTAATTTGAGGATAAAAAGAATAAGTAACAAATTAAAGTCTTAATCTAAATTTCGAGAAATGGTCATAAGCCAACACGATTTCGAAAAGTCGAAATCATATATTTTAAAGAATCACACGCATAATTACGAATTGTATCATGAGTTATAAAAACTCTCCTACCACCATAATAAAAAGAATATTTATAATTAAATTTAGGATAAATTTTTATTTGGATCCGAATATTTTTACATGAACCAATTGAATCTATGGTTATAATTTTTTAGAATTAACTTAATTATCCGAATATTTTTTTCATGAACCAATTGAATGTATTGTTATAATTTTAAAGCACGTGGTTGTTGCTCCCAGTTAGTGGTGGTCAAAATCACATAACATGCTGACATTTGACTGCAATTGTTGTAGTGGAATGGTAAAAATGGCACATCGTTCTTATTTATTATCCATTCATATGATAATGGTAGTTTCATACGATGTCCAAAAAACATGATATTCGCCGTCATTGACCACTACTAGATGCTCTACTTTTTTATATTTTATGTTAGTCACCAATTGAATATATTTATTGAACCTTGAAAGGTTGCACTAGTAGGATTTATTTTCGATGTACTAAACAAAAGTGTAATTATTATACTCAAAAGTGATACATTTATAATCATACCTAATTTATAACAAGTAAGAATTTAATTACATCTTTTGTTATGATTAACTATTGGTGCATTTCAACTAATTTCAATAGATAATATTTGAAATCAAAATGGCATTAATAGTTTTAAAATTATAATTATCCATAATTTTTAAAAATTTACTTTGTTTAAAAGCTAAAAATTTAAATTAAATTAAGCAAATTCTAATTCTATTCCAGCTTCTTCATCATTTTTTTCTTTGTCCAAAACTTCAGAATATAATAGTATATTAGTTCTTTTTGTGTTAAGTAGATAACGCAGAGATAATAAACATGTGGATTTAAATCATGCAACGTGTTCTGTCTTTCTCAAATAAACAATTTCAACTATTTTTCTTGTCTTTTCATCTTTTACTTTTCCTTTTGTTTGTCTCTTACATGTTTTATCTCTTAAGTTGTAAAACTTATCTGCGTGTAGTAAAAAAGGGTACTTTAATTTTATTTTTTATCTTAATCTGGAAACCTTTTTATTAATTTTCATATCTCATTCCTTTAAGTATTTTTTTTTTTTTTTTTTCAAAATAGGTGAAAGTGGTAGCAGACCAAGCCTATAGTCGCATGTAAATATAGCCTATCTAGCTTTGGTTTTAATCCTTGTATTTTTCTTTTTATGCTTCGTTGATAACTTCAAATGATAGGTAATTAATATTAAACATTTATAATGTTTTTGAGTTGCATTTCTATGTAATATTGCTCATGTTACAAGAAACTTTCCACATGATGTTGTATAAAATTATTATTAGCTATAGTATATTATAATAGTAATTAAGATATTTTAATCCTTTATGGAATTAAGTGAATGAGATGGTTTG